CAACCGAATATCTAGGATGATCCATCTAAAAAATATAGTGATTAATAAAAAATTGTAAAAAAACTAATTAACTATTTATGTAACTATTAAATCGAGTTATAGCAAATTAAGTAGTGAATTAACTAGTTTTGTGTACAACATATTTTTTAAACTAGAGTCAAATGTAGCAATTAATAAAAAATTGTAAAAAACTAATTAACTATTTATGTAACTATTAAATCGAGTTATAGCAAATTAAGTAGTGAATTAACTAGTTTTGTGTACAACATATTTTTTAAACTAGAGTCAAATGTAGCGATTAATAAAAAATTGTAAAAAACTAATTAACTATTTATCTAACTATTAATTCGAGTTATAGCAAATTAAGTAGTGAATTAACTAGTTTTGTGTACAACATATTTTTTAAACTAGAGTCAAATGTAGCAATTAATAAAAAATTGTAAAAAACTAACTCACTATTTATCTAACTACTAATTCGAGTTATAGCAAATTAAGTAGTGAATTCTTGTTCGTGTTAGAACATTGCCGGCCGAACTAAATTCTTGTTCCACGGCAACCGTTGAAACCGGCATTGATAGCACTTGCTTAGCCATCTTTGCTAAAACCGGGAACATTCTTTCTTTTCCCTTCCACCAGTTTAGTACGTCAAAATCATCATCTTCTTCAAAATCAACATCATAAGTTAAATACAAAGAAATCTCATTAATTGTGCTTTGTTGTGTAGCGGGAGTTGATTTCGTTTTTTAATAAGATTGGCAAACGTAGATTTGAAAATTGATTTTCCTTTAGATGATGTTTGTGTCGGGGGAGGGGGTGCATTGCCATATTGTGCATGAAACTCATTGAATAATGTATAAAATATATCACTAACCTCGTTGTATTCTTTTTTCGGATCAATTGGGTTGTCCTCATACATTGACAATGGACCAAAAAAAGCAGCATAATAATAATTCAAACATTCTTCTAAAGAACCAAGTCTAAAACGAGGATCGAGAACAAATGCAATACCATAAATATGCGGAATATGTGAATAATATTTTAAAATCTTTTCCTTCATAAAACCAACAAAATAACTCACATAATCAGCATTCTCAAAATTTGAAAAAGCACCGGCGAGATTAACAGCTTCACGAATAAATAGGTTTGAGGTAGGTTTATAAACATGACTAAAAGTTTCAGTTGCATTATTAAAATATATCAAAGCATTACAAATTTTTTCACAGGTGTCGATCTCAGCCGAGTTTATAATATAGTTATCATATTGTTTCATAAAAGCAGGAAAATGTTGTTTATATCTAAGAAGAACTCCAATTAACTTATAGGTACTATTCCAACGAATAGACAAATCTTTTGGAAAAACCACATATCTCTCACCTCTTTCTATCAAATAATCATGTCATTTTTTCCTAAGTTGTCCATTACCCCAAATACGTCTAATCCCCCCTTGACTACCTCCAACGATGCTCCCAACGCTTTTAGACCATCTTGCACACATAAATTTAGAACATGACATGCACATCGTTGATGAAAAAATCTACCCATCAAAGAAGTAGAACCACACAATCCACGCAATCTAGGAATAGCAGCAGTATTATTAGTAGCATTATCAAAACCAATAGCAAACACCTTATCAATTAAAATACGTTCAATCAAAATATAAATATGTTCAGCGGTGTGACGATCATTAAATTCACGGAAAGCAAGAACACGTTTATGCATATGCCAATCATTATCAATATAATGTACAGTCAGACCCAAATAATGTAAATTATGATAAGTATCCTCCCATATGTCAGAACATACAGTAACACGTCCATCAAAGTTTGCAAAATAATTTTGTAACCTTACCTTTTCCGTACCATAAAGCCTTGAAATTTTTTTCTTAACCGTTTTGCGACTATAACCTCTATATTGCGGATTTAAACAAGTTTGTGCATAATCACGAAAAGCAAGACTTTCAGAAAACAAATAAGGCAAATTTTCTTCAACAAGTAAGTTAGCCATACCTGTCAAATTTTGTGCATCATTGTATGAGAAATTACCAAAAGCTTGTTGGTTATTTGCAAACCTCGATATTTGCGTTTGCTTCCCCGTTCCGCCGCCTAATTTTGCATACTCCACCGGGTGTTTGGACTTAAGGTGTCTTGTGGCGGATCCGTATCCGCCGGAAATCCCCAAGCTATAGTTTTTCTTGCACCAATTGCAAGTTGCGGTCCAATTCCCGGTGTTCGGGTCCTTCCACTTAGAAAAATTATTAGCCATTAATTCAGATTTACTTTTTTTTGTACCTGTTTGGGATGAGGCTGGTTGGTCGGCGTCATGGTTGCCGCCACCCTCCTCCTCGTCGTCGTCGTGGCTCTCCGGAATTGCTTCCCCCACATCGTCATCCTCGTCCTCGAGCTCTTCTTCGTCAATGGTCCTCGGTTGGTCTTGAAAAAAGCGGGAATTATGTCGGTGCAATTCTTGTTCTAGTTGTTCGTCGGTCATCGCATCCCCATCCCTCCTTACGTAACCCGTATCAAAATCATCTCGACTTTGAGATGAAGAGCCGATATGTGATTTACCTTTGCGGGATCTCTTCCTCGCAAGCTCATTCGTTCGTTTGCGCTCGAGGTTACCCATATCAACCGAATATCTAGGACGATCCATCTAAAAAATGTAGCGATTAATAAAAAATTGTAAAAAACTAATTAACTATTTATGTAACTATTAATTCGAGTTATAGCAAATTAAGTAGTGAATTAACTAGTTTTGTGTACAACATATTTTTTAAACTAGAGTCAAATGTAGCGATTAATAAAAAATTGTAAAAAACTAATTAACTATTTATGTAACTATTAATTCGAGTTATAGCAAATTAAGTAGTGAATTAACTAGTTTTGTGTACAACATATTTTTTAAACTAGAGTCAAATGTAGCAATTAATAAAAAATTGTAAAAAACTAATTAACTATTTATGTAACTATTAATTCGAGTTATAGCAAATTAAGTAGTGAATTAACTAGTTTTGTGTACAACATATTTTTTAAACTAGAGTCAAATGTAGCAATTAATAAAAAATTGTAAAAAACTAATTAACTATTTATCTAACTATTAATTCGAGTTAAAGCAAATTAAGTAGTGAATTAACTAGTTTTGTGTACAACATATTTTTTAAACTAGAGTCAAATGTAGCAATTAATAAAAAATCGTAAAAAACTAATTAACTATTTATCTAACTATTAATTCGAGTTATAGCAAATTAAGTAGTGAATTAACTAGTTTTGTGTACAACATATTTTTTAAACTAGAGTCAAATGTAGCAATTAATAAAAAATTGTAAAAAACTAATTAACTATTTATCTAACTATTAATTCGAGTTATAGCAAATTAAGTAGTGAATTAACTAGTTTTGTGTACAACATATTTTTTAAACTAGAGTCAAATGTAGCAATTAATAAAAAATTGTAAAAAACTAATTAACTATTTATCTAACTATTAAACAAGAGTCAAATGTAGCAAATTAACTAGTAATTAAACAAGTGTAAATAATAGAATAATTTCGTACCTCTTTCGGACTTTCGGTCTTTCGGATGGGAGTAATAGAATGACTTCAAATTAATTAGATATAATTCCAACTATATTAATAGATATAATAAATATATAAGTAATATATAATTAGATAACAAATATAAGTAATATAATACTATTTATATCTATTTATAGTTTATATAAGTAGATAATTAATATCAAGTTATAAACTATAAATAATAAATATAATATATTGGAGAATGGAGAATAAGAGAATTAGAGAGTAGAGAGTTAAGAATAGGATTTAGGAAGAATTGGAGAAGAGATATGAAAAAATGTTTAAGATTAGGAGTATTTATAGGTTTTTTTTACCCCCCCCCCACCACCCCCCACCACCCAACCCCCCGACCCCCCCCCCCCTTTACCCCACCCAATGGCTATATAGCCATTTGGGTTGTCCCCAACCCCACCCCCAACGGCTAGTAGCCCAAGACCCAATTTTTTTTTTAAATTAAGACCGGACCCGGGCCCGGGCTCGACCCGGCTGGGCTGGGTCACATTAATCCAGTACCGAGCCCGCCCCGCCCATTCCCACCGGTTCGGGTCCATACCCGGTCCCGGACCGCCCGACCGGGCCGGTTCCGGGCCCGCACAGTACCGGGCCGGGCCGGGTCACGGGCCGGGTGGCCCGAACCGAATCCACCCCTACTCCAGAGCGAAGCCATCTTCGCTGCATCTGTGCAACCCATCCATAGCCTCCATCTCCGTGCGCAGATCCAAGAGACGAGCGAAGACCATTGATAAGGAAGAGACGAGATTCGAGAGGTGGAGGCGGAGATCCCAGAGACGAAGTGCAGTACACAGCAACAAAATGTCCGGTTATACCGTGCGCACGGTTACAACCGGCTGTAGGATGTATTCTACATGGTTTTACTCTTAATATTACTCCGTAGGATCTAATTTTTTGAAATGATGAATTTAAAAGTTTTTATTAGTCTACGTAAAGATAATTTACTCTCCGTACGGAAAATTAGCTGCAATACTACGGAGTGGTGGAGTATTTAAAAACTACCCGCACGGATAGCTAAGTTGGTCGAGTGGTAGGAAAATTGGACCAAGTGACCAAGGTTCGAAATCCGCAACGGCCGTGTGGAGATTACAGAACCTGAAATAAGGCTGGACTTCTGATGCACACGTGTATAAGGTCTACCGCCACTTTTTTAACTAAGTCATGATTAACCTTCCTATCATCCTGTCGGGTCGGGGTGGAACTCCGGTGGGGGGAGATTTCACCTTTTGGACTAAGGAGTATTTAAAAACTAAGTAGTACTCTCTGCATTATTACGGAGTATATTATTATTATCCGTTGAGTGCGAAACGATGCCTACTTTCACTTTCCCACGTAAAAAAGCGCGGCCCGCGATGCAGCGCAGAATCTCATGACTGCCTACACAGACCCTTTCTAGAATCTAGAGAGAGAAGCAGGAGAAGAAAGAAGAAGTACAGGAGAAACAAAGCATTTCTCCGGAACAGAGGAGGGGCTAGTGGGGGTGGGGGCATACGCAGACAGAAGACGAAGAGGTGGTGGGGTCGAAGATGAAGCTCACCGGAAACTGCGCCGCCGCAGAGTTCAGAACTATTGGTGGCAATGGTGGCGGCAGCGGAGCGGTGGTGGTTGTGGGGGTGAAAATGGATTCACGAAGCAAAGAGCTTCTCACTTGGACTTTGGTGAAGGTTGCCCAAACCGGTGACCGGATAATCGCTCTCCACGTTCTGGATTCCGACACTGGTGCGAACCTTCCTTACTTATAGACTTCTATTTTAGTTTAATTTTCTCAGATTTCGTTATACCTGTACATAATTGGAGTAGCATTTTAGTTTGCCCTCGAATCTTCACTGTTTGGTTTTGCCGACAGATAAATCGGAGATGCTAAGATTGGTGAAGACCTTTGATTCGGTGCTGGCCGCTTATGAAGGCTTCTGTAACTTGAAGCAGGTCCGTTTTCGTATAAGTTTTGATTTGATTTTATTACTAGTATATTTTTATTTTTAACATTAAATAAATACCATGCCAGATAAGGTTCTTTATTACACCAGATAGCTTTTTTCCACATTTCCGGGAATTCTGGCTATACCAATAGTCTGCATTAAATTCTCATATTAATTGCTTATTTGAATTCTCGATTTATTATTCATAGTAAAATCGTCTATACATGGATCTGAAGCTCACACGTTCCATTTTCTTACTTCCTCCCAAAATTTTGATCCAGAAAGTAAATTGTGTATTTGGGATTTATGTTAAAAGAAGAAAAACGATACTAACCATACAAGATCTTTCTAAAAAGATAATGAAAAGAAAATTTTAGAAATGATATAGTGGGTAATAATTATTGGACATAGCGAATTATTATTTCCAATTCTTGAATTATGGGTCATAATCAAAGATTTTCTTAGGTTGACCTGAAACTGAGGGTGTGCAGAGGGTCTCCAACTCGTAAAATTCTTGCACGAGAAGTGGAGGCTTGCAGAGCATCAATTTTGATTCTTGGTACTTCAGGGATCCACCGTGCTGCCCATTCATCTGTTTCTGTTGCTAAGTATTGTGCCAGGAATGTTAACAAGAACATCTCAGTTCTTGCAGTAGATAATGGCAAGGTAACATTTCGGAGTGAAACAAATCTTTCGGTTAGTCATGAATCTTGTACTCCTGGCATGTCCCAATCAAGATTTAGGAAGAGGAAGACATTACCCAAATGTCATTTGGGTAATTCTATGGCTCTTGTGCCAGTAAAGATTGTGAACGTGTCTGAATCGAGGCCAGCATGGACATTCCTTAGAAGAGTCTTTTTCCAGAACCATAAAGAATCTGGAAATCCTTCCCCAAACAAGTTTTCTGTTGTGCAATGGGTTCTAAGGCTAAGAGGTCACTCTGATGAAAGACAATTTATGCTGAATGAAATTAGTGAAGCAGCCGTGCCTGCCCCGGTTCATACATCATCTTTAGTTCACCAAGAACTGGCAGGTCTTTCGGCAAAATATTCTTCCACTTGCAGATTGTTTGGATACCAAGAGCTCTTATCGGCTACTTCAAATTTCAAGCCTGGTATGTGACCTTAATATTGGACTGATGTTACTTAGAACCTTTTTGGGATAACTTATCGTCTCATTAAACCACTTAATGACTTTTTCATTCGTTTGTCTCAAAAGACCACCAACCTGCTGCTTTTTACCGTTAGGATGCTTTTACTTGGACTGTTTTTAGTCCCACACCAGACTTGGATAGTTATAGAAATACACAGGGACCAGACCAGCAAATTTCAGTCCAAGTAAAAACATCCTTAATATCACTATTGTCTTTTCCAGGCAACACTTCTTTTTTGAAGTAAAAGTATTTTTTCCCTCTAAAATTATTCTACCCAGTATGAAAATAAGTCATCCAAAAGGCTCTCTCACTTTTCCATGCTTTTTGGTTTTGGGCTGAATATTATTCATTCGTTTACTTGATACTTTCAGAGAATTTAATTGGAAAGGGTGGGAGCAGTACTGTTTACAAAGGGAGCCTTCTTGATGGAACGGAACTTGCAGTGAAAATCTTGAAGCCCTCTGACGCTTTGGAAAAACAGTTCTTCTCAGAAATAGAGATTCTTACTACTTTACACCATGAGAACATAATTTCACTTTTTGGGTTTTGCTTTGAAGAAAACAATTTTCTGTTGGTTTATGATCTGTTATCCAGAGGAAGCCTTGAAGACAATCTCCATGGTATTCTTTTATGTGTGCATGCGATCTTATGAAGACCTTTTTGGTTTTACTATGATGAATGATTGATTATGTTTTGAAACAGGTACACAGAATGTTGGGGATTTCTTTGGTTGGCAAGATAGGTTCAAGGTTGCCTTAGGAGTTGCTAAGGCATTGGACCATTTACACAATTCAACCAATGTACCTGTGATACACCGGGATGTGAAATCCTCAAATATTCTTCTTTCAAATGATTATGAGCCAAAGGTGCTGCATTTTTATTTGAAGAGATTATTATTGTCTTCACTATACAACTATACCATTAACATCTATCAATGTTTTTTATAGCTTTCTGATTTTGGTCTTGCAACGTCTGCCTCTTGCTCATCAAGCAAATTGGATGGTATTGATGTTGCTGGAACATTTGGGTAAGTTTTGTTTCCTTTTATTAGTATTTATATTCCTTACAAACTTGGCTAACACCCATTTTTTCGTTTACAGATATCTGGCTCCAGAATATTTCATGCATGGAAAATTAGATGAAAAAATTGATGTATATGCATTAGGCATTGTCTTGCTTGAACTTCTGTCTGGTAGAAAACCAATTGGCAATGCACATGCTATGGGCCAAGGAAGCCTGGTCCTCTGGGTAAGTTGTATTCTCTTATCAACCTTGATATTGGCTTCTCAAAATTGTTAAGTTCTTCGGGATTGAATTGGAAATAATTGCCAAGTTTATTATTGTTATTATTGTTATTTGTTTTGTATTCATCGAGCTTACTTGCAGGCAAAACAAATTCTGAAGAATGGGAAAGATGTAGAATTGCTAGATGTGAGGTTGCTAAATGCATATGATCATGATGAGTTCAATAGAATGGTTTTAGCTGCAACAATTTGCATCGGAAGGGAACCTAAATGTCGTCCCAACATTGACACTGTAAGAGCCATATTCTACTTAATTATTCAATGTCGGGAATCTTTTTGAGTTGACGTAAAAACCTGAAACCAGAAAACCTGACCAAAACAAGGAATTAGTGACTTCTCTTAGTAACAGTACACACCTTAAAATTTTATGTGTCAATAAGCAATCCAAGAGAAAATCCAGTTATCGTACGGTTATGGTTTTCATAATTCCCTTCAGTTCACCGTAAAATTTGTAATGAAATAATATACAGTATTTAAAAATTAAAATGTCAAGTTGTTTGCATAATTAGTTCTATAAACAAAATGAAGCTATTTAACAAATTCATTTGTCTTATACTCTTATTAGATATGACACTTTTGTGCTTGCTTTTTTTGTCCAAATTAGCTTTTGCTTGATTATGAATCAGCATATTTGGTTAGCCATTTAGCCATACTAAATTTGCGGTTAAACGAGAACTGCTTAACCAAAGTAATATGGTCAATAATATTGAGAACCTTCTACCCAGAACATTGATTAACGAAAGGTTGGTTAACCAATTGTGCCCACCACTAGTAGTATAAGTAGTAAGACTGTCCTTTAATTCAAATATACATATATATACAATTGTACAGCAGGTTGTAAAACTTCTCCAAGGTGAGCATGAAGCAATTCAATGGGCAAGGCAGCTTTTGAACAGTGCAGAGGAAGTGGATGAAGTTGGCGATGAGCAACCTGCAACAGCAAGAATCCAATCTTTTATCAATCTTGCGTTGTTAGATACTGAGGATGACTCCCTTTCAATCAGTAGCAACTCGATATCTGTGGATGATTATTTGCAGGGAAGATGGAGCCGCTCCTCAAGCTTCGATTAGACATTCTTATTAAACATAAAACATTCTTTGTAGATGATGCACATGAATTTGGTTTTCTCCATTTTGGTTGCCATGTCAGCCGTTTGGTCTTGGATGAGAGGTAAGCAAGCTAATGACCTCCTCCTGGCTAAATCTCGCTTTGGAGTCCTCTTTTTTATGGACACTTTTCTACTTTTTTTTCGAACCCAGATTCTGTGAAGTGTAAAGCTTGTTTCAATGAGCATGATAAACCAATGCCCTGTGGCTGTGATATAGTGAAGACTATATGTGATTGGTGTAATGTATCTAGTTCAAGAGGTTGGTTTTTAGCTACCCGGAAAAGAGTGGTTTATTTTTCTTATGGAGTGCTCCCATCCTATAGTGTTCATGTACTTTTTACATTGTTTTTATGGAGTTCAATTATGTAGTGTGATGTATTTCAAAAAGGTTGTCAAATTGTAAGTTTTAATTGAATCAATGACCTGAATAAAAAACTGAATTGTGAATAGGATCATGAATCATAAGATTTTATAAAACTTATCCAAGTTAAAACCACTTAATGGTTTTTGTGGAATTATGTCAGCTAATTGTACATAGACATGTTAAGATTCACTAAACACCAAAAACTCAATTTGATCCTACTAGACTACCATTGATTTCGTTTGAATTGCAAGCTACCAATTCAATTGCATATATTTTGATAATCTCAAAGATCCTTCAATGGTGGCTAGTGGCTTAAATAAAAAAATAAATACATAATTTAATTTCTCATAACATTTTCTATTCAATTTACCTATACCCTTCAGTCCTTCGCCCAATTTAATAATACCCATATTTTTCCATTTACTATACAGAAAAATGTCATCGCCACACCTTAGTAATCGCATTACCGAAATATGTCAACCAGATTCAGGCAACACCGCTAAAGAAATACTTTTTTCCATTTTAAATTATGCAATATCAATTACAATATTTTCACCATTGCCATCTTGAAACAAACTTCTGGAATAATGTAGTACAGAGTAATAAATATTACTCCAAAATATAAAAATATAAAAAGGAATAATTTTTATGGCATTCTCAAGTCCGATTTGATCTTGTATTTGACTTTATCACATTTTTTAATGATACCACATTTTATATATTAATCACAAAAATGCCATAAATTTTAGTAAAAATAAGGGGAAAAATAATAGGAGTTACTCTAGCCTACTTTTAGGCCATAGAGCCATTTCTCCCCATAAACATGGGAACAGTTTTTTGAAAAAACAATAAAAATATAAAATATTGAAAACAGATACTCCGTATAAATTGTATGTCCCATACTCCCATACATTCATAGAGATGACCCATAAATTCAGAAACCAATTTAATTATGGCCCATAACTTATTATGGGAATCTCCTAAAAAAAATACAATAAACTGCTTCCATTTATCAAGTGCTGCCTCTGAGTTCGTATTTCGCACATGTAAGCCTGCCAGAAACGTTGGGTGTAATTTTAGCCACATGGGAAGTGGATGCTGAGGAGACTGGAACGTACTAAGCCAGCATCTTCTACCAACATGCCAAAATTTGACCAAAAATCCAAAAATGCCGAATCGTGTCAAATTGTCAATTTTAAAGCTTAGGATTGGCAAATTCGCGCAACGGTGGTAGTTTTTTCTGAGGCATTTAACCCTTAGAGTAATGTGAGCAAAAAATTGCTGCATTTAGCGAAAGAAAACCTGTAAAAAATGATACCCTTCTCAAGCAGTTTCCACCGGTACCTGATTATTGTCACCTCCTGTAAGGCTTTAAAAGATACCCTTCAAACTCTGAGCTAAAAGTTATTGATTCCTCATCAAGCCTTTTCTTTAACCTCCTCCAAGTTCTCAACATATCAGACTGTATCAGCCCTGAATATAACATCTCAAATGTAACCTTTTGGGGAAGAAACCCCTTTTCTATCATTTCCATGAACAGCTCACAAGCATCTCTCCATCTCTTTTTCTTGCACAGTCCATGGATCATCAAGGTGTAAGAATCCAAATCCGGACCTATACTGCTGTTCTTCATATCATCCCAAATCTCCCGGGCAAGCCCTAATCTCCCCAAGTTCACAAACATTCCTAATAGTATATTAAATGTGGCCTCACTAGGTGCACACAAGGATCCATCCTTCATTTTACCATACAAAACCAATGCACCATCAATGTCTTTTCTGCCCCTATATTCCTTGAAGAAACAATTGAGAGTGGCTGCTATGGGAGTCACCTCACCACTCACCATTTCATCAAGCAGCTTTTCTGCATCCTCAATCCGTCCACAGGAGCATAGACACTTGATGACTGATGTGTATGATGCTATATTTGGACATATACCCTTCTCCTTCATTTCCATCAGCATCTCTAGAGAGAGCTCAGGTTTATGTGCCCTGCTATATACATGGAGTAAGATTGAGTAACTTGTTACATCAGGCTCAACTCCTCTCTCGCGCATTTCACCAAACACCTTCTCTGCCTCCACTATCACTCTCTCAAACCTGCCATCCGGATGCAAACTGGCTCTCCTGCAAATCCCATTCAGCAACACGTTATACGTCACCACGTTTGGGTGCATAGATTTATCGATCATCTCCGCCAAGAACTTCTTAGCCATCTCAATCTTCTTCAGCTTGCACCAGCCGTAAATCAGGATTGTATAGATCTTGCAGTTCACGTCCACTCTCCATTTCTCTTTGTTGAACACCTCAGTAGCCACTCTCACGTACCCGTACTTACAGAGGGTGTCGAGGAGATAGCAAAAGTACAAATTCCAGACGTCTTCCTCGCCGTGTTCATCGATGAAGACAAACATTTCGCTGAAGGCGCGAACGGCTTGTCGTGTCAGCCCGGCAGATATGAGCCTCCGGATTAGAACGTAGAAAGTCGTGAAATTGGGGGAGATTTTCTGCTGGTCCATCTGGACTATGAGCTTCCAGGCGGCGTCGAATTGCCGGACTTTGGAGAGGATGTCGATGAGGAGGTTGAAGGCGGTGGCGTCGAGTGAAGAGCCGGGGCAGGACTGGGAGAAGTTGAAAAAAGCGAGGGCAACTTTGGAAGAGTGTTTGAGGCGGAGAAGCGTCTGGTGGAGGAGGAACGGGGAGAGGGAAATGCCGGTGAGCTGAAGCGATGATTCCGTTGGGTGAAAGGGATTGTGGTGTTGGAGAAGAATCTGAGCGATCCTATCGGCGTCGTTAGAGGGTTCGATTTGGGGGAGAGTAGGTTTGAGTGTGTCGGTGTCGGGGGCAAAATCGTAGTCGTTGTGGTGGTCGGAGTTTGTAGAAGTAGAACAGAAGCGGCGGAAAACGGCGGCACGTGGGAAAGGAAAAACGCGAGAACGGCAAAGGCAACATGCCATTTTTAGGTGAAAGCCGGAGCACATTCGAGAAAACCTTGACAAACGTAGGGGTGGCAATTAGAGTGTGAGACCATTTGTATGGGGACAGCACTTTCTAATAGCTCATTGATGACATTTGAATTAATTGATTGTTTTGATTAATCGATTGTGTCGGTTTATAAAATTGTGTTTGATTAAATGATTATTTAAAATCAGCTGAAAAATCGTACTTTTTAAATATGATGATACACAATTACAACTATTATATATATTTAAATAATAATTTTCTGGTATTGTCATTGATGTTATTATTATGTAGGACTATACAATTACAATTAAACTGATCGTGTCGGTTTATACACAACTACGACCATTATTATTTACTACTCACGTATTAAAAAATGATAATTGTAAATAACAATTCTTTTAAATTTTTTGTGTTTTTCTAGGTTTATTAATAAAGAGTTATAATTTAATTTATGTTAAGAATAGTAATTGTTGTCTAACAAAAAAAGAATCATGTTAGCCTCAATTTGCCAGTAGTTTAGTAGTCTAGTACGTAAGAAATAATGGAAGCGGAAAAGGCAAAGAACTAAGAGTATTTTAAGGGAAGAAAAACAAATGGGTAGATCATGAATATTGTGGAAAGGCCAAACCCAAAAATTATACCGAGTATTTCTTAGCCTTTTCAATTTTAGCTGTTTGGAATGAAAAACCAAATGAAAAAGCTATTTAACCAAAGACACTATTAGCTAATGAATCTAGTCAAAAAGGCAAACCATGGTCAAAATAGCCAAAAGTTGGTTGATCCGCCACCAACCAAACACCTTTGATGTCACTATTAGTATTGAAATTGGAAAAGAGAATGTCACTATTAGTATTTCTATGGCAGGGTCAAAAGATAAAAAACCGAAAGCTGAATCAAACTAAATCGAACCGCAACCAAACTAAATTGAACAGCAGAAGAATCGAAACTGAATGTAAAAAATCAAATTGTATTTGATTGATTCGGTTTTAGTTTTGTCCCTCCAGAATCGCACCCAACCGAATAAACAGGCCTAATTGAAATATGAAATTTTATTTATTAACCGTTAAGCACCAATCCCAATATCATTGATGGTATTTGATTTTTTGTTCTATAAAATCAGTTTTTTTGTGTTATACGTGTTACTTACTTTTTATTAAATGTCAAGTTATACTTTTTTTTGTTCAATGTCAGGAGTAGATTTAAAATAAACTATAAGATCGGCAAAGAGATCAAAGTTACACAAAGCACCATAAACTCGCCCAATCATCCCCACACACCCCTACTATACTCCACAATTCTTCTTTGGCCTCCTTTTCCAACTAATTATTTCTACGCCTTGCTATAAAAAGTTGAGTTATCACAAAATACCAGGGTGGGGCCATTACATGAAGTCTTCTTCCAGTTCTTGCAGCGATTTTCCAGTTGAAGCAATGTTTTTGTTTGATGTCATCTTCTCAGCCACCATCAGATTTTTGTAGCTCCTCAACTCAGCATGCTTCTCCTTTTCCAGCCGTTCCATCTCCTCACGACGTTTTTTCTCCCTCAGCTGATGCTTCCTCTCTGCCTTTTCAGCAGCACTGACGGCCTCACGCTCAGCCTTCAAGTCAGTCTTTCTTTCAACCTTTGTCCTGTTCAATCGATTTATTACTCCTATATCATTGATTCTCTTCTCCACTCTAAGGCATTGTTTGGTTCAAAAGAGGGGAGGGAAGGGGAGAGTCAAGGAGGGAAGGGAAGGGAAGGGGAATGAAGGGTTTTGATAAAAATTTGTGTTTGGTTAGAGGAAATAGGAGGAAAGGTTTTGATGGATAGTGTACCTGGGGGGTAGCTTATCCGAGTGGTTATTTCGGGAAATAACTAGAGAGAAGTCAGAGCAAATAAGTAAGAGAGATAATGTATTCGAATATGTGAACTTGTTATATTCTAGTCGTCTTACAAAGGGAAAAGGGGGAGCTAATTATAGCAGCAATAAATGCTAGATAGGGACACGTGTCAGCATTCTGGTGGTCGAGGGGTCACCTCAACCGGGGTGGCACTGTCACTCGCATGTGGCCGCATTAAATGCGGTGGTTGGATGCGACGTTTGTACTTGGTACGGTGATCTAGCACATGTGGATGGGAGATTTTGTCGAGGAGGATGCCTTTGGTTGTAGATGACAGTCCGAAGGCTCTGCGTACTGGGGGCCTCATAGTGCTGAGGGTTCCAATTGCCGAAGGCTTGGTTTTCAAGCCTTATTTTCCCGTGATGTTGATGAGCCCAATTCTGTCACTGGTAGCCTTCCGCCATGGGGCCAAAGGCACCCCTTCATGTATCGTGGGCTGCTTAGAGCTCCATCCTGCTGGGCTTGGCCCGCTTTGGGCCTGTTGGGCCTGAATGTAATAGTGGAAGTATGTGGGCCGGGGGGTCCCTGGGCCATATACTCCATCAGGAGTCCCTCACTCCTTTTGTCGAAAGGTACTTAAGGGAAAAGAAGTAATTGCGTTTGTCCTCTGATGCTGCCTTGTTGTAGTTTGTAAAGTTTGTGAGTAGATTTTCGTATGCGCATTTTGCCGAGGGCAGTCCCTCAGTCCCCCACATTTGGGACTTGAAGGATTATGTTGATGTCATGGGGAGAGTTTTGACGTTTTGTGATTTTTCCCGGAGGGGTCCTCCAGTCCCCCACTCCTTGAGGCACATGTAATGTGGTGAAGAGGAGGGTAGCAGTGCTTGTCTTCAGTATGGGGTCGAGGGCTGACTATTTTCGTTTCATTTTGGGGGGATGCCTCGTTAATAACCTCATTAGAAAAAACCCTGTGGGAAAAAAATCTAATGAGGGAAAAAGAGTGCATCGAATTCCCCCAATGATGAATGGGAAAGGTTAACCCTTGGTCTGAGTATAATGTTAATGCCGGAGGTTGTCCTTGATCTGGGGGCTTGCTTGTTCATTTGCCGAAGGCACCCTTTTGATATCGTGGTGATACCGAGGGGAGTCCCTTAGTTATTGGGGCTGAGGGTGTGTTTGACATTTGTGATAGCTCATGCGTTGCCGAGGGGGCTCCCTAGTTCTTGATAAATTGGAGACTGAGGGGTCCCGTTATTTTATGTCGGAGGCCAACCATTGACAAGGGGTTTGAAGGTGTGTCCCCGAGGGGTTTCCTGGTTCTCTATATTTTGTTAAAAGTACCCGAGGGGTTCCCTGGTGAAGGGGGGTTTAATTCTTGATGAGGTGACCTGGAACGTGTGAGCCCGGAGGCATGGTGGGGATATAGCCGTTGGAGATATGACCGTTGGAATATGACCGTTGTAGGTAGGGTCCACGTGGCGTGTTCCCCGTTGGCTTCCTACGGGCGGGTGTCACCGGTTGGCTGAAGAGACGGTGCGCAATGATGACTTTTGTAATCGGGGGCCCAATTCCAGGCCCAGGCCCGGAGTGGGGGGCCTATAAATACCCCTAAGGCCGGACTCATTTTCTCGCGCGATTTCATTGTACCGAAGCTCTGACCGATTTTTTTCTAGAGAGAGAAGTGTCTGTTCGATCAAAAACCACTTCTGAGGTCAGTTCTTCATCTGTTCTTCACTCCCTTAGAATTTTTTTGTGTGCTGCCCATAAATCTAGTGTTAGCAATCCTTAGGAACTTTTCTTTCCTCGGACCCTTGAAATCTAGGCCCGGGACCGAACCGCTTGAAGACCGGGCCGGGTGGCCCGAACCGGGCACTAACCACCAAACCAGGCCGGTCCGGGCCCGCACAGTAGCGGGCCGGTCCGGTTCCAGGCCGGTTGACCCGGCCCGAGTCCATCCCTAAGGTCACCGCCCACCGGTTCATTTTGACTTTTGAGAAGAGGCTCCTTATAGTTCAGATTATTTTAGAATTATGCATACTTTGGATTAATATTAGAAGACGGCTAATAGTTCAAATTATTCATGTGAATTTTTCCTAACTTTTATTACTTCGTATAGATTAGACACAGTCACACAACACATTTTGTTACATCAAACACAACTAAATCACATAGTGAATTTGTATCAAATAGATATACACTTTCTCTTGAAAACGAACCATCACCAAAATTCTCATAAAATCTTTTCATCTAGTTATCCAAACATACTATAATACAAAAGGAATGGAGAGCTTTGCTTGACATCATTATACTGAAAAATAGCTTGCTCCAGAAAATGTCAAAATAAACAAGAAAAAATGCATGTACAATCAGTCCGTCATGAAAAGATTTCACGTGCGCATCTGCTTTGTAAACACTTGGGCGTGCAATTTTGTGAACACAGCTTCTACAGCAGGGAAATCAATATCAAATCCATAAGTCTGGCCTCCATAAAGCACATAAAGATACTCCTTAGAAGATGAAGGGGGTGGCAAAATTTCCGCAATATCTGGAAATTGAGCAGTCGGGGGCAAAATAAAATCTTTTCTCTGTGAGTAGTAAACATCAGCTAAGAGAAGCCATATCAGATCAGGGTCTAGTGATGCAAGTCCGCCAAGAGCTTCAACAGAAGCATCTAGAAGACCTTTAACGCCGCTGAATGCTATGCTTACCACCAGACCACTGACCTTTTTAAGGACAGCTTCCAATGCCGAAGCACTTCTTTTGTTTCTTGCTAATTCTGAAATCATGTTGAGCAGTTCCGCCTGCACTTTAAGGTTGGAAATCTCACCGAATGAATCCTCAGAAGTTGTGGAGATTTTTCTGTAAGGTAGTTGTAGAGGGACTCTTTCCTGTTTCGAATGAGGTTTCTTTTGAAACGGTGACGTGGTTAGAAGTTTCCAGAAATGAATCCCGTCTGTATGAAAACGACGGGTAAAGAAATCTCCTCCACATGTTTGGACCAGTGTACTAATCACACGACAACATCTTCGTGTGGTCTGTAAAATGTTCAAACAGGAGAGACAAAGTGTCAAACACTACTACCACTGCCACACACTTGAAAGAAACTTATCACTGTATTTTCATGGGAGAGAATGTACCACTGGATATTTATTTCGGACACAAGAAACCAAGAACGGCCAAATTTTATTCATGGCAGGGAGCAATCTGTTTTCTCCTGTTTCGTCCTCAGCAGTTTCCTCAAGAGCGTTGGGCGAGCATGAGAGAATGAAGTTTTCAACTGC